CATCTCTGCTTTTGTGCATTAACTCTTACAGGATGGAGGAAATTGGTCTTGATGGAGGTTTGCACTCTTGGAGTGCTTCTAGATTTCTATGTTATAGATTCTGCAACTAAACTCCTCTGTGTTTGGTTAGAGTCACACCAACATATTCATCATTTTATGTATTTTTATATACTTTACATGATGTTTGCTAGTAATAGAGTCTGTAAAGAACAATAGGGACATTTTATTACCAGCCTGAAATGAGGGCATATAGGCAGATCTGAAAACCTGCATTGCACCAAGTTAGGTAACCTAGAGGATATTTATGAATACGCAGAAACGGTCACAACTTTCATAAAGTAGACTTCCTCATTTCTCCACCCCACTAGGCATCTAAGATACTAGAGGTTGAACTGATGTCGACACTACTTTTAGATTCATGAAACGTTTCGTGAAGCTGAGACATTAGAGCGCTGTGGCTGTTTTTAGCTTCCTTCCTCCAGGAGCTGGCCTTGCTGCATGGCTGAATAGAACATGGGCTGTTTTCTCCTGACTACAAGGATTTGTCAGGGATTTTTATAAATAGCTCAGTAACACGTGTCTGCAGCACACTGCAGACTACAAATGTAGCTCTCAAGAGCCATTGAGACGGTGATTTGTCAAAACAGAGCAGACAGGAGGGGAAGACGAGAAATGAGAGGCAGATCTATTACGGCATTGACAGTTCGGTACACACAAGAGACCTATCAATATGTACACATCTCAGCCCATCAGATGATGACTTCTGCATACTGCAAAAGATGCATGRTACTCCAAATACCAGATGGGACCATAACAAATTTGTTTAGCTGTGGTTTGCATGACCAGTGGGATTATATTACAGCTGATTAGTTTTTAAATGATCCTTTTTTTCTCATGTCTTCATGCCTTTGGAATTGTGTTTACAATAAATCCAAAGCCTCTCAAGCTGCAAAAACAATAACTGCTTTCATTTTACAACTCATAAATGGGGATACCCACCTGGTTTCTGATGAACAAACAGAAAACAAGATAACCTTCAAATCAGAGATTAAACATTAAGATTCATTTGTTTTTAGGTCTCGTTTCTACTCAGTCTGATAATGGATTGAATATATTTTGTGCAACATCTGACAAGCCCAAGAAGAGRGAATCCATTTGTTTTCCTCCTAAGATTGACAGAAGAACCGCAGCAACTTTTTTTACTGRGATAAAAGTCCTCAAAGTTGTTTCATTTCTTTAACCTATAAAATCAAACATTTTTGTCTTTTAAAAAACTTTGTGAAAATGTAGGTCAATGTCGCCAACAGAATAAAAACTAGATAATTGGATCAAACAGAAGATTCTTGCTGCGAGGCGACCCTGCTAACCACTCGTGCTGCTTCGATTTAAAAGCAGATTATCCCCAATTTCCATATTTAGTATCTTCTTAAATACATTTGCATTTTTTGACTCATACGTTACTTTTATTGACATACTTGTTTTATTACAAAAAGTTTTTTTTTTCTTCTGCTCTCATTGTGTCAGACTGTTTTTTTTTTTTACCTTCATGACAAACGATGCTGTTTATATTCCTGGTCTTTAATCTCCACCCACTGAGTTTTTCCAGCCTTTTGAAAACCGTTCATTAGCAAATGAAGTGCACCTTGAGATTATGACTCATGATGATAACAGACGAACTACTCTTCCAGTTCACTGCCTTTGTGTTTTTTTTTTTTATTTACATAATAGCTGATATATAACACGGGCATTTCTGGGTCAGGCTGCATCATGCCTGCGATCTAAAACAAGCTGCGGAGACTTTGGGAGTTTTAAGGTCTATATTTGGTGGGCTGGGAAAGGTTAGGAAACCAAACCAAGGATGAAGAGAGCTGGATTGCCATACGTTACAAACTGTGAAAATACACTTACTTCGGTGACSTAATAACACATTTATTATTAATGACCAATCCAATACACTGGACATACAAATATCCCAAATTCAGGACAAATAAAGTTGTTTTGTCTGCCAGGCAGGTACTTTGTACATCAAAACATCCTGTTTCAAGTAAATGGGAGAACYCAAAGTGAAAATTTAAAAAGCCTTGGAATTTAGTTGATGGATGAAGCCCATTAATTCAAGCAAATGGCTTTCAGCTGGGTAATGAAGTGTACGTTTCATGCAATGTTCCCAATTCAAGGTCCAAGCATCAAAACAGTCCACTCCTCCATTTTGTCCTGATTTTACCAAAGAGAAGGAAATGATGCGGTCACAAATATGAAACGATGATTTTATGGATGTGTGTTTCTTATTGATTTCTCTCATTATGCTCCTATCGCAGTCCTCCCTAAAAACGAAACATATTTTATGATGTTTAAACCAACATCATTTTTTTTACTTCTTTCTCTTTCACACAATGTACAAAAACTGTCTGTTTGCCCACACTTCATGTTCCTGCTTGCTCTCAGATAAATTAGCTGCTGTCCCTATCTTTAGGTTTTGAGAMCAAAACAAATCAACTCTAGAGTACGCTGACCAAGAAAAAACATTTTAGGTGACTTGTCAATTATGTGCAATTACCTACAAAATTGGCTCGGCACATTGTAAAAGTGTAATTATGGAATTGTCTTTCTTTGTACTCTTAGATGTAAAAGCTCTGTTGAAAGAAGGAGTTCCCCCGTGTCCCAAGGGGGGCCTTGTGGGGGGTTCTCCGGGAGTATGGGGTACCAGGCCATTTGATACGGGCTGTCAGGTCCTTGTACGGCCGGTGTCAGAGTCTGGTCCGTATTGC